CGAATTGGGCCTGAGGCAATGATAATTTATCTATCTCTTGAATGGTATTGTATTAAAGTCTCCTGTGTTGTGTTTGCTTTTTGTGTGTCTTTATCTAATACTTTATAAACTTTTTTTATAAACTAAGCCTCTTTATGAGGCTTTTAGGGAGTTGAGTTTTTTGTTTTGTTTTTGTTTTGTTTGTTTTTTTTTGTCGTGAGAAAAATTCCAGTTGTAATAGAAATTTAACCTGAGATCAGAAGGCAAATATCTGAACCACTGAGCTGCTCAACTCCACTCCTAATTATTTATACATTTTTAAATAAAGGTAATGTGTCGACTTCATCATTGGATGTTTCTTATACTATACCAGTTTCAGAATAATATGCTGCTCATGTTTGGCATGATGCTTTGTATCAATCCAATTGTCAAGCTCTTGAAAGAGTTTAAAATATGTCCTCTGTATTATTTTAGGGTCCAATTTTTAAATTATGATCATCATTATGTTATTGACATTCCAGCATTCGTTGGAAACACAAAAATAATTACACTTGCTTTGAACAATATTGTTTGTTGAAGTCATGCAGAGATATGCTCCTCCCGTATTATATATCTTCAAGAACGTTGAGATCTAATAAGTTACTTGAAATTCCTAAATTTTTTGACTGAGAGATACAGTAAGTTACCTATAGCCACTATATTTTAAATTCTAAATAAGCATAATAATATTAATAACAATAATAAAAACTAATTACCTATTATTATTATTATTATTATTATTATTATTAATGTTATAATTACAATATCATTACGTATACACTGATGTGTAGTTCATGTAGGTCATAATATTAATAACAATAATAATAAATAAAACTAATTAACTATTATTATTATTATTATTATTATTATTATTATTATTATAATTACAATATCATTAAAATTATATTATTCTTAATAGTAATTCTAATAGTTAAATAGTTTTAATTATTATTATTATTATTATTGTTATTATTCTAATTATTCTTATTATTATTCTGTTTATTATTATTTTACTTATTGCTCTTATTATTATCTTACAGGACCGTAGGAAGAAGTTTATTACTGGTCCGGCCAGATAGAAGAATTCTCCACCCGGCACAGGCTCTCCCTAAATTTGTCAAAATTATTTTTCAACTGGAGAAAAAAAAGATGTGCCATAATCATAAATGTTTTTACCTCAGCCAGGACCATGCTGGGGTTGAGGTGCTCTAGACCCGCCACCTGTGAAACGCCCCTTCCCCCTCCCCCTCCCGCCATCTATTTCGAATTTATGGATCCATCACTGTATTATTGGTATTATATAAAAACCATGCTCACTTGCGCCGAAAATTAGAACGGGGAAATCTTTCTCCTTGTGCAAATCCTGGTGCCACAATTGTTGGTTAAAGACACAAAACGGGGGAAAAACACAGAATAGAATTCATCGTCTACGCACGTCTTTGATAGTGTCCGAGATAATATTATGTAGATTGGTCATGCAATTTTACACAAATAGAAATTCTAATTTAGATTAGTAGTCAATTTAGTGAATTACGGTATTCAATAGGCCTATATTAAGCTTATGTAGTTTATTTCTGAATACATGTTTTGTGTATTTATTTCGGTATACAAATCCTCAAGCTATCTATTAGAACACTGTTAATAATAATAATAGCGCATAATACAAGAAAGATTAGTGAATTACGGTATTCAATAGGCCTATATTAAGCTTATGTAGTTTATTTCTGAATACAGGTTTTGTGTATTTATTTCGGTATACAAATCCTCAAGCTATCTATTAGAACACTGCTAATAATAATAATAGCGCATAATTCAAGAAAGATTCCTCTATGCGCTTTACATGAACAAAAGAAACATAGCCATGAAATATCCCAAAATACTACAAAGAAAACTAATAAAGAAAACAAAGTCAGAAGAATAATTTTTCACTGCCCGTTCTCCCGTTTAAAACCCCAGAAGATAGTGGCTGTTTCTCCTGACGCAAATCCAGTTATTGTCTATTATTCCATCACGACAATAACATTACTATCAACACTGCAGTAGCCGCTGCTTACTTGGACTCGAATTCAACCCTGGCCATCAGGCGCAAGCTCGGTGGCTGTCTCTTATACACATCTAGATGTGTATAAGAGACAGGGACTGTAAATCGTCACAAACTGTTAGTTTTTTACTCAAATTATGTATATGATCATAATGAATGCAGACGTCTGCAGGCTCTGAGACGATATCTGCAGTATTAAGACCCCATTTTAAATTACTTTGAATTATTACACCCAGTAATCCTGTCTCTTATACACATCTCCCAGAAGATAGTGGCTCGCTGGTACAGTATTCACAGGAGCTCTAGTAAAAATTATATCTAGCTGGCCCAGTTTAATAATTAAAGAAATCAGATGTGAGAACGATTGATTGATTGATTGATTGATTGATTATTGATTGATTGATTGGTTGATTGGTTGATTGATTGATTGATTGATTGATTGATTGATTGATTATTGATTGGTTGATTGGTTGATTGATTGATTGATTGATTGATTGATTGATTGATTGATTGATTGATTGATTATTGATTGATTATTGATTGATTGATTGATTGATTGATTGATTGATTGATTGATTGATTGATTGATTGATTGATTGATTGATTGATTGATTGATTGATTGATTGATTGATTGATTTACAGCCAGTGAATGGCTAACAAAAGGCCTCTATAAGTCAGTGGTGAGTCATCACTTTCATTTGCACTAAATTTTCCTATCCCCTACTGATCACTACAGTATCAACATAGTGACTTCGATTTTTTGCGCCTCGTGTGCAAAAAGCTTAAAGCTTGTGGGATTTTATCGCCACGGAATACTGTACATGTACTGTGTTTTCATTGCTAGGCCATGGCTATGATAAACGCACACAGCGAACACAACAAATCTCGCTCTAACGGCGCTCTGGTAACACGATTGAAGGCTAGACCTTCCAAGGCAACGCCTAGAAAGGCATAATTGTTATGAAATAACAAGATAGTTGGCTTATACAATAACTGAAAAAATAAGGCAGTGCTGAAATAATTCAAAACAATGTGAAGACGTAGCTACAGAACGAATGTGGAGGCTTATGTATATTATTAATAATTTTATGTTTAATATCATGTTTGCTTGTATAATAATTATGTTTGTTCAGTGGTCAGACGGGCAGCGCGTTAGGTAACATGATGCAAATAGGTGGATTTATGAAAACATTTGGTATTGGTTGATTATTCCAATGAGTAGGTTACGTGCACTACTCTATATATGATGCATGTAACTAGGTCTGTCGTTGCTTTGTTTTGATTTGTCATTTTCCGGTGCTTTCGATTTGTATATTTTGGTCACTTACAATATTTCAATCAGTACCTGATGATGACCTATGGTTGAAAGTACTCGAACAATAAATATTTTAGTTTGAGGCAAATATATAAACTAACAGTGTTTGGAGAGTCGAGTGGTGGAGCAGTAAGGCTAGGGCACCGCTAACTACAACATTAACATCAGCGCTGGTTCCAGCCGCTCCAGCCTAGGGTTCAGTTGGTAGAATCAAGTCTCAAGGACTTAAAATGGAGGTAAAGTGTACACATCTGGCTCGTGTGCACTTAAAATAACCCACTGCATCTTTCGGAAGAGTAGGGGTTACCCCGATGCTATGGTTCATTTCAGCCTCTGTCGTTGTGGAATGATGTGAATGTAGCCGTAAGCGCCTCTGTACGCGGCTGAGGTCGTCACGGACCACGCCCATTCAGCACAATGACGCTGCGAGTTATGGGTACCTTTACCTTACAGTGTTTGGCTTGCTTGGTAGTCAACATTCCCACAATCCTTTTAAACAATCCTTTCCGTGTGGTGGGTTATGTGGTTGTGGGTGTGTGTGCTGACATGGAACCAGACTTCGATGCTTGAGAGCTATGTCAGTTAAGTCAGGCCAAAAGAATTTTGGCATACAAACGATATCGATTGGTGAAATATTGGTCCAGCCAGACCGCTTAATACGGCCTTGCCTCATCATTCTTCTTCTTATTATTATTCTTATCATTATTACTTTTATTATTATTCTTATTATTACTATTATTCTTCTTATTTTTTTCGCCTTTTATTATTATTACTATTATTCTTCTTATTTTTTCGCCTTTTTTTCTGGCCATTCAGATAAACAGTTTCCAAGTAGGACATCTAAAACCCCTGTAAATACAACTTCATTCAAACAACGTGCCCCAATCCTTTCACAAAAAGCCCGGTGGAGCCTATGATGTTTAGTGTTTTCAGCTGACCATGTATGTATACCTACATAGTCTGGACTGTAAATCGTCACAAACTGTTGATTCTTACTCAAATTATGTATATGATCATAATGAATGCAGACGTCTGCAGGCTCTGAGACGATATCTGCAGTATTAAGACCCCATTTTAAATTACTTTGAATTATTACACCCAGTAATCTGCATGTGGTCAAAAACATCAAGTACCGATCCATTTAAGGAAATTGTGGTGGATGATTTTTCCTTGCTGCTACTAAATTGCGTCCACATAATCTTCTGAACCGCCGGTAGTTACTACAGAGGGCCTAGGACTTGATTTCCCATCTACTGACGTTTTGAGGCATTAAAAATACATTTTTACTGCATTTGATTTTGACCAGGGTACGTAACAAATTATTTTACTTAGTAGGCATACGTAGGCATGCACCCAATGCGCTCCTAGGTGGTTTTTAGAGTATCATGGTATTAAATCTTGATCACATTTTACGACGAAAGCAATTGAGAATAAACAAGTTTTGTAGAAATCTATGAACGATTAATATTTTAAGATGAGAGTGACGGTCAAATGCGCTTGTTAATAATTGTGATCAGTTGTATTCACAAATCACAACCTCAACAAACAGGATCAATCAGATGGGCTTTACAAAAAAGGAAAAGTCTCTTTCATGGCACAATATCTATAAATTATCAGTTCCCTACCTGTAATTACGAGCACCATAACAAGAACTATCCAAACTAGGTTAAGCATTTCTGAAAAAAAGTGCTTTAATGTACCTCGGTTGAAACTGAGCAATGTTATCACACGAAATTGATTGTTGTATACAATTTATGTCTTTTCTTATCGCCAGCTGAAAATTAATATTTAAAATTAAGAGGGGTTTTTTTTATTATCTGTTGTATAATATATGCCTATTGAGGGCGCTTCGGTTGCCAATTAGTAGGTTTTTTTTTAACTTTGGATTTCTACATTTTGCTGACTTGGTTGTCATGGACGCATTCCCACTCATTCTTGATCAACCTTCCTTGTTTAGAGTATAGAATTAACAAATAGTATGTACAAAGCATGCGAATCAATGATTGCCTGTATAATACTGGACATTACACCGGCCAAGTCATAACTTATATGTTAATGCTATTGTGTTTAAATAAAGAATGTAAGTTTAGCCGTGATCGTAAACTTAGAGTCTAAAAACTTTGTTGAAACTAAATAAAGCATTGTGTGTGTGCGCTGAACTGTGATTTATTCGGTTCAATTCCCATCGTTGTTAAAGAACGAAGTAAATTGTTCGAACAAAAAGAGGATTGTCTCCCACTGTACTGCTCAATTCAATGGCGTAGAAAAATATTTTCCATTGGGGGATGATTGAAAATTCTTGGAATTGACATAAAATTACTGATGTCGTTCACACCCTTCAGTGTGAAAATGTGGCATCTAGTATCTAAAGAAAGAAGAGCTTTGATTGGTACCAGATAAAATAATTTTGTTATCAACATTAATACATTATGCTAATTTTCATCTTTGTAAGCGCATAAGACATTGCAAATTATTTCTGTGACAGTATTTTGAAGTGTGTAAAGCTCCATTTTATCCCATACAGTCAAAATATTGGGGGGAATGATACAATGGACCATCCCCCCTTGTCAAATATTGGGGGATATATCCCCCATCCCACGGGATCTATGCCTATGGCTCAATTCACTATCAGAAGGATCCCAACTGGAAATATGTCTTAGGACTTTTGTGAGTTATTCTTGGCGTGTACCACCAACGAAATCTAATCTAATGTGCCCATGATTTCTTTACCTGTTCGAAACATTTAGCCGTTTGCTAACTATCTGTGTTTCGTCAATAGCAGAGAAGTAGCTATTAGGCCTACTATAGTTGTATTCACTATAATCACAATAATATAATAATTAACAGCTCACTTGTTTAAATAGCTTCTTTACGCCGACTCAATGATAATTCGGCCCACAAAACCTCCCTGATCCCACTCCGCTTATTGGTGATAAAATCGGCGGACATTTAGCCTGTTTATGTGCTTTGTAATGTTGCAAATAGGCCTACAAACTACTACACATCTTTCTTAGACGTAGGCTGTTGTATGGTGGTCAGCACCAGGATTATAAATTTGCCGATGTGAATTTGAAGTTAGCAAAAATACTACTACCTCGATGGATGCTAGCTCATAATTTAGCTAGTCTAACCATGTCTAACCTACACTTATGTCTAGGCCTACACTAGTGCGCATGCTCAATACATCGGCGTAAGCATTGCCTGTAGGCCTATAATGATTCTTACACCTCGACGTAAGCATAACCACTTCGCTTGTTTTATTATGTTCATTAATTGTTAACATTAGATTAAAGTTTAATTTTGCATAATCATTGCAGCAATCGTACCGGATGTGATTAGGAAAACTAGCATGCATAGTATCAGCATTACTCTGTCAAAGACAAGCGCCAGGTCCGTCCATGTTTTTGATAGTTCATCCTCTTTTCCCTGTTCATCAAACTGCTGTTTAAAATTTCTGATGTTTGCATTCTCTGTCGTTATGGTTGACCCTTGACGTGGTGGCATAATTGACTCTTTGTTGTCGCTCCTGTCTGCATTCATCTTCGGACAGTAATTCGCCAGTTCACCCCTTTTAGAACGCATAAGTTGCCTGTCAGAATCCGGTTCATACACACCCAGAACCGAGCCGAGGCCTCTGACGAATATTCTGTGAATAAATCCATTGACAGGCTTTTTGTGTCGTCCGTAGTGAAACTTCAAAATTACCGATGTTGCCACAACTGAGATGCATCCAAGAGAGATGATCAATGTAATAAAATTTGCTGTAATAAATAAAGCATACAAAGTAATAAATAATCATTAAGGATTGATATCATTAGAATTATTCTCTCTAGACCGTTAAGAATAACCAGTTAATTTGAAGTAATTATTAAGCAGAAACGGGACACTAGGCCTACTAGATTGAAGTGTAATTCAACAACATTTATTCATTCAATAACAAAAGAAATTTACAATATTTACAAGAATGTAACGAAACATAAAAAAGGAAAAAAATTATAAACCAGAACTATGTGACGTTTACAAGTAATTTCATAGTTGTTAATGGATTAATATTTTGTCATATTTATATTCAATATTCAATAAGTGCCCTCAATCTTTCTTCACATGTTTTTTTCATTGGCACAGTGTCTATATAACGCCCTCGGAAAGTATTGTATCACATGAAAACATAAGCAGACAAACCGCGCATGATAATTCTGGTTAATCAAAAAAGCATACAGGCGGCAGTGGGCGTTCTCTCACAGCAGCGTCGATGAGAGTAACGGTAAAGACTAAATTCACAAGCCACGAGGAACATCTATATATTACTTCTACTAAATCCCTGGTGTAAGTTCGCCTAATCCCTCTGAAGGAGCTGGAATGGAATGTGCTCATATCTCATACACTGGGGTTTCTATATGTGATCCGATACTCTTCTAGGTTGCATATTAGATATAACAACGAAAAAACAGCAAAAATAAAAAAATAAAAAAAAAAAAACACCGAATATCAGTACCTGCCATGTCACGTAAATAGGCCTAAAATACCCCATCCATTCTGCACCGCAGTGCTTAGGCCTAAAAAAATCGCGGTAGGCCGTAACAGAACCAGTCTAAGTTTCGCCGCGCAGCTTCATTACGTCACCGCGCAGTGCTTCTCTCATCACATGTCAACAAAATGAGTGAGCAGCATGTTCCCGTACCGCTTCCGAGTACCCATTGCATTAAGCTCAAAACATCAGCAATAAATAGATGTTTTAGAAATCGATCAGGTAAAAACTTCGACGCCTCGTAATCCTGTCTCTTATACACATCTAGATGTGTATAAGAGACAGCTTCGAATCCGGGTCGGATCAATGTGGATATTCTTCCGCAGTGCATTAGGTTTAAGTTTAGGGTCAAGCCAGCTTCGTCAATCAATTCTTCGAATTTACGTAAACGCGTCTCAATATGCATGCATCCACCTACTTTATTTAAGAGAAACATTTCTCTCAAGTCAAACTAGGCTAAGCCTACTGTATATGATATAATACATACTCCAAGTATCGAAATGCACGCCATCGTGTCGGAATCCCGACACGATGGCGTGCATTTCAATACTTGGAGTATGTATTATGCTATTTTATCTGAGATTAATCAGTGGACCTTTCGGTTCCTACTGTATGCTGTATTTTCACGTACAAGAGGGTAGCCCTACTCCAATGTAGGCCGCATATTATACAACTACGAATCCAGTAGGGGAGAGGGAGCACACATGGAAGGGGGAGGGGGAACGTGCCGCCCCGTTTTGCCACTATTTTTTTTATTTCAGTGCAATGTTAAGTGCTACTCGCTTATTTATTCTTAAAACTGTTCTGCCCACCCCTCCCCCTTTGAACATTTCTTGATCCACCCTTGATGAAGCTGCACAATAATTCCTCACAAGGACTATTCAGCAGAGACACTCAAAACATTAAATACAAAGACCAGTGTGACCACTGCTTGGGTATTTACCCAGGATCTTAGGTATTTTGACTTGGTCTTGGGTTCTTGCGTATTCCGTTCAAATCCTTGGGTATTTTATCTATACTAAGAAAATTAAATATTTTTGTCATAGAGGAAGAATTAAGAAGTAACAAAGTATATGTCAGTCCATTCAAGTAAGCAAAACTCAACGAAGTGCACATAACATTGTTAATTGACTGTTAATTGCTATAAACATGGGTTCAGAATAATGTTTATTTGTGATTTGCGTTGCCATTGATCTTACCTAATTAAGACATTACATAATAAAACTTGATCACTGATCTACTGATAACACTGGCCGACTGAGGGCGTATTTTTCTATCTGTATTACCACCTCATGAATATTAATTTTAATAATTAACACAAACAATTACAATAACAATGGTTTATAAATTGAACTAAAAGGGAAACTATACATGCGAAAAACACGGGTTATTTTCAAATTTTAATGCATTTTCAGGAAGCTTGGGTAAATTTGGGTAATTTTTGCTGAATCTTGGGTAATTTCGACCCAGTCATTGGGTATATCAACAATTGTGAGTGGTCACGCTGACAAAGACGTCCTTTAGAAAAATAATGATATGGTAAATATAACATCCACAACTATTGCCTCGTCAACTTCCCGTAATATTAAAAAGTATATCGTCACCTTTCCCCACTATTGCAACACCGTGCGGAAGATGGGTATATGCTTGTTATTAAATACAGTATCATGTCATGAATTACCAGATCCAGGGAGCGTGACGGCGGTATAAGTCGTGTGTCTAGCGAAGAATCCCAACAGTTCGGGTTTTAAACCGGGTTTTAGGCGTGGGTAAAATATTATTGCATCGCAATATGTCAGTTTGCATGTAGGGCCTGGGTTAAGGAGTGTAATTTTTGTCAATAAATGTTCACTGGAGTCTATGATAATATGGATTCTCGTAAATGTTGAACTTCATTTTTATACAATGAAATTGTGACGAGGGAATTTCTTGTATGTATTGTACTTTTGCTTTTACAAGTACAAGTGGACTCGGTGGGCCTAGACCTATTCTCTTCTTTATTCTCTTCTGTATTTTAACATTGCTTGTATTTAATAATCTTGAAATTTGTAGAGGACACTTTCTGTATACTAGTCCGAGTCAGAATATTTTGAGAATAAATTATCCTTTTTGTTCTGTAGAATGTTTATAAACTTATTCCTTAGCCAACACTACTAAGCCAGTCAAAATTGTTATCAACTTTGTTAAACATTTCGTTATCCACACATGGGTCGTCCATGTTGAAACTGTACACTCTGAACGGGTACGCGCACGCAGATGAGGAACCCAACATTATGTTTTCTAGGCCTAATGTACTGCCTAAAATTCAAAAAATGTTATTAAACATCCATTGTCCATATCAATAATATATAATATGTAATAATGTATTAAGGGTTTTGCATTAATCCATGGCCGAACGTTTCACCGATATACATTTGGCCGACAGACTATTAACGAAATACCATTCGCCGACGCGTGATTTTGCCGACACTACATTTCGCATAAAGTCAATATGCCGATAGGACGTTTCGCCGACATTTGATTTGCTGACAGACAATTTGCCGACATTTTTTATGAACATGTTAATGGATGGATGTTTCACAAGTGACATTTGGCCAACAGACTATTAACCAAAATACCATTCGCCGACACGTGATTTTGCCGTCACAACACATTTTGCCGAATGCCGGTGTGCCGATTGCCGACAATTCGCCGACATATTTTTCTGTACATGTTAATGGATGCCAAGTGTCGCAAGTGATATATTTAGATATATTTTATTACAATATTATGCCATTATTTACATGATTATTATTTATTAATATTTTTTTCTTAATTGAATGATCATGTGTTTTTATGTATATTTCCTTATTATTTTTTTAACTTGTCATTTTCTGTATCTAGTTGTATATACACAGTAACCTAATCAATTTGGTTTTTTTAATCCAATTTTAGCTAACCTAATTAATTCCTCATTTATTGAAATTTATATACCTATTAATTTATTGATTTACCTAATTTGTACCGTAGATTCAAAATTGTAGTTCAGCCTGTGCTGCTATTTAACTAATTTTATATGTGAATGAATAAAAGATACGACAAATTACTATTATAATGTGTCCTCCAACTTGTATATTTTAACTTTACTGTATATTTGTAATTGGTCGTATTCTGGTGTATTTTAGACATTTTTAATATTAATACTATAAAGCATTGTACATTTCAATTTTTCCTTAAAGTTGCAATAATGTCGCCTTATATCTTGTATCTTGTCTTTCTTTTTATATCAATTTGTACCAATTTAAAAAATTCCCTTTATATTGTGTTAATTATTCTTGTGATTTTCAATAGTATTAAAATCTTTAATAAAAAATAAAGATGAACGTGGTGTTTATTATAGGGATGTATTAAATAATTTTAGCAGAATCTTATATTGCATGATTTATATATTAAAAGTGGTCTGCATATATGTATAGGCATAAATAACGATTTTACATGATGACTACTAGTCCTCCACAAAACAAAACATCTGTCGAAGAAACATCAATCACAACATCACAAAACAAAATATCGGCGAAACGTCCTGTAGGCAGGACGTTACAATTACTTTGTTTTGCAAAATATACGGTATACGGCACTGCCGATGAAATCAAACCCAATTAAATTGATTAATTTGTATAATTCAGTAAGTTGGTTTTGATTTAAAAATGATCTTGTAAACAAAAATGAACGTATAAATAAAACTGCTTCTTAAAGTAATCCGCACGCAACGCGCTTGGAATGCTTCGTCAAAAATGTCAAAAATATGCAATAGCTCGCTCTTTGATGTGAGAACAGTATCAGGCTTTCGAGAAATCCATGTGATTCATCGTTAGGCTGCAGACCAAATCAAGTTAAAAAGAAAAGTTAAAAAGCTATTGCCTTAAAAGCGATCGCAGCAAAAAGATGTTAATTCATATCAATTTATCAAAAAGACAATATAATTTAGTAGTTTTTAAAATAAACACTTATGTTAAAAAATCCCCACCACTATAGGCCTACTCATGTTCACACTACACTCCTATAGGCCTAATACGTATACATTTATTTTTTTGCTGTGCCCATGCAATATCGCCGCCAACATAGATAGAGGTTTATACCTCACTGGTACAACTGAGCGACTCCGAGTTAGTAACTGCGTAAATTGTGTCATGCACTGTATTATGCGCTACAGAAATTGAGCACCATGTAATAAGAATGTACCTCTCTGGTAGGGCCTACAGTACCATCAGTGTAAAAGTGTAAGATATAAGCCTAGTGTGGATTAAAAAAAAAAATCCTAATGGGTAATGTTCAAATATAAGTGTCAATGAATGTAAGTATGATTGTTGGAAAAAATGGTCAACATTTTATTTTTATTTCTCAACCTGAACTTTACCACGGCGAACGGTGCGAAGGTCTGGATCCGGGCCTGAAGGCCGACCGCAGAAGCGAATGTTTCTCGTGACTGGTGAATTTAGTCTGTACCGAGCGTAACGTTCTTTGCTATTTAAACGAACATAATACAGTGCAGTGCTTTCTTTCCTTTGCTACAAAAACAATTGCTGCCATGTATGACGCTAGAGTGTGCTCCAAAATTACAGCAAAACAATTTTTACAAACACTAAATATGCACAATATAAATATTCAAACCTGTCATAATAATAAAGGTAAAAAAATGCTCAGTATTATTTGAAATATTATCTAATAAGACTCCACTCTAAGCGGGGATTATATGACCAAAATAGTTGAATTTGCTTGACACCAGTCTGTCATCACTGACATTTAGAAATAATTATATCAGTATTTTAAATTTTTAATGCCAACGCTTTTGTTTGTATTTTTCATATTATTTGTAACTTAAAATAAAAATGTAGAAGACCTACTTAACTTTTTTTTACGAATCCTGAGATCATGAATTTAACTTGCTTTACCTACTCTTTGAAATTCAAGTGCCACTCCGCAAAATCAGTCATACTTTTTAGTCTAGGCTAATTGTGTTCTTACCTGATATTGAACAATGTACAATACAAACTTAATCACTTTAATAATGTTCATATGGTAGGTCAATATAATTAATAGGTGATTTAGAGTCATCTACACATAATAAGTGTATGTTTGATGTTATCAAAAAACCAATTGAACTCACCGATATAAGGGGCTTCGTCAGATGGAGGTAATGTCTCGCCGATAAGTTGTTGGAACAGCACAATTGCTAGCAAATTAGTAATGGCAAACGACATTTTCTCCCCGCATTCTGGAGGTAAAAAGAATACAAAGGCGGCAAGAAATGAAAGAAAAGTGCAAGGCACTAGAATATTTCTGACGTAGAATTTTGAGCGACGTCTCAAACCAATTGTCATGCAAATATTAGTATATGGATATGGATCCCAATCGTAAATTTGTTTTTTCTTCTTAAATTTGACATATTCTATGTCCCATACACCATTCTCAATATAGTAATAACCAGTAATCTCCTTCTTCATCTGTGTAAACTCCATGTCGACCTCATTGCTAAAGTATGTCCAAGATCCAAACAAAAAATTACAACCTTGCTTGTCGAATGGAAAATACTTCACATCCAACTTGCAAAAGGCGGTGTAGATAGCCGGTGTTGTCTTAACAACAGTACCATTCGAGGTGATAGATAATAGCACATTGGTCCTGGTACGTTCAAAGTCCTTGTCCACACTGAAAGAAAATCGTCAAACACGAAGCACTAAGATAAATTATTCAAAATGAAGTCTCTCATTAACTCTAGGTTATTAATATGTTCATGAAATCTAATAAAGCATACCAAAGCCCATAGTCATTTGCTGCAGCTGCCAAAGAGTAATAAAAGCAATTTGGACTGGATTCCCGAAGTGGAAAAAGGTTTTTCCAAAACCCTTAATGTCATCAAAAGTACGGGCCTTCCAACACTAAGTTTACTTTCAAATATATATTAAATAAATATGTACAAAAAATAAGTACTGTAAAATAATTAAGATGGACTTACTTGTTGTATAGTATTATGTCTGGCATCCAAATTAAATGAGAGGGAACTTTAATTCTATTTATCCCACCGTAGTCTGAAGCATTCCATACCATAAATTGATCCTGCCAAATCTAAATCAATACAAATGGAAATTCGGAGCCTTAATTCTGTAATTCAGGATATCGATGTATAGGCTTCCAAACATTAATATCTACAGTAACTTCATGACGTCACTCCCTACAGTAAGTGATGTCAGAAACTGAAGAATACGTTCTAACAGAACGACAAACATTTCGGTTAAGTAACTTGATTATTTGGAAGATAAATTATACATCAATTAGTTCCTAGGAAGTTATTACAGAAACAGGTAACAATACCAACACACTTAAATATAAATGTAACTAGAAGAAATTATTTGAATATTTAAAAACTACGGTATATATTAGTTTATTTATAATTTAGATTGATTAAAAGTCCATATTTTAATAATCAAATTCTGCTATTAGTATTCATACATTATATTTCAGGGGGTTTGTGCAGCAGCAATGAGAATATACTTAATTTTTAGTTTTATTTCATTTTATATCAACTTCACACCAACAGTGAGTACGAACTCGCCATTTACAGGACGGATAAAACAAAAAATGGATACAAACAAACAATTATCCTATACCTAACATCAAGAATACATGGAATAAGTTTCTTTTTTAAATTCAGTAAATGAATTCAAGAAAATATCAATATTGTTATCTAAATTAGACTCTTTTACAGTTATTATAAAATTTACTTAATCTGCAAATAAATCCTTTACGGATAGTATAACATTCGACCTTTTCAGGAAAATAACCTAACTTCAGTGATTTATTGAATATGAAACAAATTTGATCAGTTAATTCAGTGGAATTTTTCTTTAGAACATAATTACTTAGACTATCGCTAATAGAGGCCTTGTGGACATTCATTAAACTTAACAAATTGGAAATTCAATTTTCATCAACATTAACTTAGAGGTCCAAATGAATACTCTTTGGTGTCTAAATTAGAAATGTTTGGGGAATTTTTAGTAAAGGAAGAAGGAAAGCAATTATTAAAAAGACTTATTATATCAAGGTCAGTGTCTGCATAGCTTTCTCTAAATTCAATTCTAGGAGCAAGTCCTGTGGTTTTTAGTTTGGCTTTTGTTTATGAAACAATCCTTTATTAAATCTGCCTCAAGTTCCTTACCTGTAACATCCACCCGTTGACAGTTATAGTTTGAAGTATTTCGTCCTGAAACACAACAAGACCGTCAACATCGCTATCACTATATTGAATTCTGAATATTGAAAGCTATATTTTCCCAAAAGGAAATATGTTGCGTTGACAAAGCAGATAAGAAGTAGAGGAAAATACATGTAATATTGAAAATTATGTATATTGAAACATAAACAGTTATTCTAAGATATAATTATATTGCATCGTAAATAAAGAGTTGGCGTGTAGTCATTTATACATTACACATTAAGTATTAATTTTTAATGGTTTGAACATTAAAATGTTTCAATAAAGTATAACATCATTGACGAAAAATCTGTCAGCAAGGTTTTCTCTAGAGTCAAAGTAGGGAAAAGTACCCCTCCAGACATGAAGTGTAATATTACTATGCCACCACGACCTTGCACCATTTACCAAGCTTATAAACCGCCGTCTGGTACATGGAAAAGTTTCAAATATTTAAAAAATGTCTATCATTTGTCCGCTTTCAAAATACCCAGCTAAAGGTGTCCAACGACTACCATCCCATCGTAATAACCTCCAATATCATCGAATGTCTTGAAAGTATAATCATTGAATAATATAGCACTGAATGCAAAAACACGTATGGACTACAATTGACATATCAGGAAAACAGAAGTGTTGAGGACGCAGTCCTTGTCTTCCTTCAAAAAACATACAAACATCTGGATAAACTTGATTTTCTGAAATCAAGGCCACAATGTTTTAGTATTGGTAATAATTATTATTATATTATCTTTAATTGTTTCTTTTTTGTTTTATATTCGGTTTCAAAATATTATATGATAAAAAAGATAAAATTACTAAAAGCATAGAACATGAAACCAGGATCAGTGGCG